TTTTGATCTCATTGAAGGCGTTTTGAAGCAGTGCTCAAGAAATAGCTCAACCAAAAGAACATTTAAATTATGTAAAAATGAACTCCAGTGATTTAAATCCATTAACCTTACATAATAACTTTTCAAACATAGTACTGTAATTTCAAAATTAAAAAATTTTAAGAGTTTGAACTCATAAGAGATAAATCCTAACAATGTTTTCAGGGAAAAGTTGAAGAATAATCATTTATCATCTTCGAGTACATTTAGAAACTTGAATGGGGGGGCGGGCAAGTGTAGCCAAGCCTTTATCAATGATGACAGTAATGAATGACGATAGTTACTTAACAAATGTTTATTGAGTGCTTGCTACGTGCCAAGTATCATTTGGAACGCTAAGGATACAGCAGTGAACAAATGCGTATGAATATTGATGATACTGAGGATGTTTACTGAGCCCTTACTATAGGCCAGGCCCTGAGCTAAGCGCTCTGCGTAGACTGGTTCATTCATTCCACTTTCACCAAAACTCTTGAGCTACTATCATATAATTCCCATTTTACAGACGCAGAAAATAAGCTTCCTGGGACTTCCCTGGTGGCACACTGGTTAAGAATCCACCTGCCAATGCAGGGGACACGGGTTCAAGCCCTGGTCTGCGAAGATCCCACATGCCACGGAGCAACTAAGCCCGTGTGCCACAACTACTGAGCCTGCGCTCTAAAGCCCGTGAGCCACAACTACTGAGCCTGTGTGCCACAACTACTGAAGCCTGTGCGCCTAGAGCCGGTGCTCTGCAATAAGAGAAGCCACCGCAACGAGAAGCCCACGCACCGCAACAAAGAGTAGACCCCGCTCGCTGCAACTAGAGAAAGCCCACATGCAGCAACGAAGACCCAACGTAGCCAAAAACAAACTTAAAAAAAGAAAAGAAAAGAAGTTTCCAATCAATAACTCACCCGAGCTCTCAGAGCCACTTGAAGTGTTGGAAGTTGGACTCTACCCAGGCCTGTCAGATCCCAGAAGTAACACGGCAATTGAGTATAAATGACTGCTGGAAATGTTTCATAGATAGGAGACTAAGCCATTTTAAATCTTGTCGACTCTTAAGCATTCCATTTTCACAGTTGGTATAAAAGTCAAATTCAATACTGTTGCACCAAACTTTAACACATTTAACTGAGCAGGGTCCAGTCGATGAGCTTTCATCACGGCATTATTATTGACTGGAGCTTATGGATGTAGAAAGTTAGATGTGACTGGAACCTGTACCTTGGCAAAGTATTTTTGATCACTTAAGTCCAGTGTTTTCAATGTTTCACTGCTACCCTTTGCTCCTGTTGTAATATCTGTACATCACTTGTACTATTATTTACTTAAAACTGATTCATTGTTTTTACTTCATGTTTTAAAGGAAAATAATATAATTACTATAAATAAAGAACCACAAATTCATTCAATAAATATTTATGAAGTGCCTACCATGCACTAAGCCGTGGGGATACAGCAGTGAAAGATACACCAAAAAGAATCCCTGCCCTCACGGAGCTAATGTTCCAGTAGGGGTGATAATCAGCAAGATAAATAAGTAAGATACATAGGACATTAGAGAATAGTCAGGGCTGAGGGGGAAAGGGGAGGGCATACTTGGTGCCAGTGGGGGAGAGTTAAAACTGTAGATAGAAGGGCTAGGGAAGGTCTCATTGAGAAAGCTTCATTTACTCAAGGTGACTTTGGAGGAAACACGAAACAGGACCAGCCATGTGGAAATCCAATAGAAAGGCAATCTAGGGAGCAGGAACAGACAGTGCCAAGCCCTGAGGAATGAGTGTGCCTGGGGTTTTCAAGGAACAATAAGGAGGTCATAGGCAGAAGCAAGACTAAACAGGAAGCTACTGAAAACCCAGGCAAGGGATGATGGTGGCCTGGACCAGAGTGATGAGCAATGGTCAGATTCTGGAAATAGTATGAAGGCAGAGCCAACATTTGCTGATGGACCAGTTAAGGGTGTAAGGGAAGAGGGATCAAGGAACACCCTAAAACTTCTGGCTGAGCAAGCAACTTGAAGGATGGTGTCCAATATATTTCTTTGTTTCTTTCCTTACCCCGCCCCCCCGTAGGTCTTCCCCTGCCCCCACCCCTGGATTTGGATTTCTGTCACTTGCATCACAGCCTCCCCACTCAATGGAAGAAATTTAGAAAGCACGGGTATTCAAAAAAACACAGATTTAATGCTGCTTGTAGTTTTGCTTTATCTAAAGTCTGTATATGCTACACAGTTCTACAATTCTGCAATCTTGAAATGATTACAGTGGGAAAATTATTTTATTTTTCAGGGATCCAGCAGATACCTTTCAGAAGACAGAAATTCCATATATTGTAAATATATTGAATATACTTTGAATATTATAAATATACTGAAATTCTGTTCAGTGTAATTCTGGTATGTAGATTGGTTGGCTGGGGACTAACAGACACAAGCTTTCTTAAAAAAAAGAAGCATGGCTGGCTCTTTAGGCTATAAACAGATCTATACTTGATAAACAATGTGCCCCTTTTGTCAATGAATTAATGTAATTGTTTAGCATCATAAGCTCAAACTTTCACTCATTTCACTTTTTCTGGCTTATTCACTTATTAGTTCAAGGAGAAAACAGACTAAATAGAGAAAAAACATACACGAAATGAATAATAGTTTCATGGATGAGCCAGGACGTTAAATAAGAAAACCAAGGTACTCTGATTTCATCTTAAACACTGGCCTGTTACCTTAGTATCAAAATAACTGTGGTATTTGAGTTTAGAGCCAATGTTCTAGTCTCTGTACAAAAGTAATGCCTTTCTTTGGCACTGATAGATCATTAAGCATCCATCTCAACAGTTTCAACATAAAAAATAGCTTACTCTCTTTGTCAGCAAATAACCTACATTGCCTTCAATTAGACAAATTAACTTATATTTCTATCCTAAACTATATCCAGTACCCTACATCCATTCATCCTAGAAATCATAAGTTTTGGATATGAATTATGTTTATTTTTGTATTGGATTGTGTAGCAAACTGAGCATTTAAAATATGATAAAGAAAAAGGACTCCCATGTAACTACCACAAATAGATAACCCTGGCGATCCAGTGCTGAGGACTCTGTGCTTTCACTACGAGGGTGAGGGTTCAATTTCTGGTCGGGGAACTAAGATCCCGCCAGTCGAGCATCGCAGGGAAAAAAAAAGATAAAGAAAAAGACTCTCATGTAACTACCACAAAATAGATAACTGAAAGTTCAACGCTGGTTTCTCCACTGGGCTGCACACCTGCCTGTTCAGTGGCTCCTGGACTCCATGAGTGCCAAATCAAACATGTATTTTCCTCAAACCGCCCATATTCCCGTGCTCTGTACAGCAATTAGTGACACCTCCATCCACCTAGTCAACCAAGTTAAAAACCTGAGTCATCTCTGACCTTCTCTGTCCGTTCCTTCCTATACCCGACTGCTTGCCAGGTACTGCCCACGGAACAGCTTCCAGACCGACTTACCTGCATCTAATCTCTCCCTTCTTCACCCCACTGCCAGAATTCTCTTCTTAAAGCTCAGATATATGTTACTACTTGCTCAAGAACCTTACACTTTTTCTCCCATTTCCTATGGAATAGTCTAACTCCCTAGGATAGCACCCAAGGCTTTCCATAATGTGGCCCACTACCCCACCGCTTCTGGTTTTGACGATGCCCAGGATTTAACTTATATTGGTCACTGAGTGATGACACAGAGTGGTCAGTGCCACTGAAAGTAGTTTTATTACTCCCAAGGGAAGGGGGCACATCATGCCATGCAGGGCCACACAGGGAAGTACCAGGGTCAGTCAGGAGGCACAAGGAGCAAGGGGAGAATATGGCCCAGAACCTTTACTGCGGTTTCTGTGGGAAGAAATGGGTGAGGCAGAGTAGGCAAGTCTGAACAAACCTAGGAGTGCATAGTTTGAATAAGGTTGGTCTCTTAGTTGTCCAGTTCTTGGCCCTGGGGTGATTTAGGGCAGGGGAAATATTGGCTTGGCATGTGGGAGTTAGATAAAGGAAGTGGTTGGGATGTGGGCTTTGGATCAGTTGCTTTGTACATGGCAGGCAGGTTCATAGGCAAGTTGTTTGTTACTCTAGGAATTAGCTCACCCTGGGAGGAACAGTTCCCTCGGGGCTGCAAGGCCCCAAGATGTCAAAGCATCATAAAATACACAACATAAAAAACATGGTTAACACACATTCCTTTCCTAGGAACCCTCTGCTCACAGCTCTAGTCGCCCCAGAAAATGTCCTTCTTTATGAAATAAGTTCTGTAGTGCCTCTCTCAACACTCTGCCACCACCCATGCCCCTGAGCCCCCAAGTCTGGTACCTGTAACATGACCCCTTCCCTGTCCCTGTGGCACTGACACAGGCACCCAATCTACAGAGTGGCTGGCCACCTATGACCAATGTGCCTGCCTCAAAGAGATGAACTGGGCCGATCAGATTTCCTCTCTTAAGGATTTAAAATAAAAGCCACAAAAGGAGATGGCCACTTGATGTTAAGGTGAACCGGGGGGGCCCTGAAGTAGACTCAGGGCCTTTGCAAGCCACGTGTGCTGTGCTCCACCCTTCCTGCCACTCTACACCTCCTCCAAAATACTACAAATAGTCCATAATAACTATCTGGAGCTAGTGCTAGAGTTTTGTTTTGTTTTGAATGTTTCTTTCAAGTACCAAGATTAACAGATATTCACAGAGATTGACAAACTGTAGTAAACAGGTCAGAACGGATCAAGCCTGGGAGAGAGGGTGCAATGATATCCTTTTTTAAGCCCCCAAACGTGTTGCAAAGTGTTTTAAATTTCATATAAACGTTTAAAGGACCACATAAAGACAATCCAGTGCAAATGCATCTTGCAGTTTCAAAGGCATTTCCAGCTGCTTTTTAAAGTTCTCACACTGGGCTACAGAGCTGCAAAAAATCTCCAGGCGGATCCACCTACTGCTCCCCCTCCCTTGGGTAGCGCTGAACCAAATCCGCAGACTTTGTCGATTGCTTCTGCCTGGGCAGATCCGCCTGGATCAACTGCTCTTGTCTGGCCCGTCCCCGGGCGCGGTAAAAGCGTTTGAATCCAGCCTGGTGGCCGCAGCGACATCCTCAACCCTCACAGTCCTGACCGGCCTCAGCCGCCTCCTCTTTCTTTTACATCCCTGACTCTCCCGAATCACCAAGAGTGGAAACGGAGAAGCTCAAGCCGCCGCCATGTCCGAGGCTTATTTCCGGGTGGAGTCGGGTGCGCTGGGGCCTGAGGAGAACTTTCTTTCCTTGGACGACATCCTGATGTCCCACGAGAAGCTCCCGGTGCGCACAGAGATCCTTATGCCGCGCCTCGGCACTTTCTTCCTAGACCGGAGCGGAGGGTCCGAGGCTGACAACGCAATCCCTCAGGTAAGCGATCCAGCCTGGAAAGACTACAACTCCCGATAGGCCTTGCGAGCTTGGGGGGGGGGCGGCCCGCGTCGCTGGGCGCGCTGCCTCTGGGATCTGTAGTTTTACGGGGAGGCAGGGCCGTGAGTTAAGGAGTCTTGTCCGCTGGTCCCCCGCCGACCTAGCCTTCAACACCCCTACGGAAACTAAATTTATACTGCGTCGTCAGGCTCCCTGCAACACGGATTTCATTTTTGAAACTATCCATATTCAGCAATGTCTTTACACCCCTACGTGTGTTGATGCTTAAGGATTGGCGCCTACGGAATACTTGAGGACCAGGGTTCTGATCACTTTTGCCTTAGAACACAACAGTTTGGGGTTGTATAGAGTAGATGATGTCTGGGAACCGCAGATTGCTAGATTCATTCCTGCGTAATGAAGACGGTATCAGCAACCATTTCCTGAGGGCTTTAGTGTAGGCATGGATGGGGTGGGGGGAGTATACTTTTCCATCTATTACCCCTTTAGTCCTTCAACAACCCTATAGTTAGGTGTTGTTACATATAAGGAAATTGAAGCCCATAAAGTTTGGGCCAGGGTCTCATTGTAAGGGATTCGAACCTAGGACTGCAGGACTTCAAATTCGAGTTTGTCCCAGGAACATGGCTTGTAATGGTTATTTTTGATTTCCTATTTAACCTAAGTTTTGTTTAGAAGGGTGCTTTTGTTTGGTCTGTTTTGAGTTAATTTTTATCAAAGTAAGGCATATGCAGAGTTTAAAAAGTTAAATGGTACCGAAAGATTTATAACAAAAAGTAGCAGGTTCTGCCTTGCTTCCCTCATGCCCCTTTCTATTTCCACAGGATCTGTCTACTTTTTTCACAGTTTCTTCAAAATTCACCTCCGTATTTCTAAGTAATGTTCTTACATTCTTTTGGATTTTTTTTTTTTTTTTTTTGCGGTACGCGGGCCTCTCACCACTGTGGCCTCTCCCGCCGCGGAGCACAGGCTCCGGACGCGCAGGCTCAGCGGCCATGGCTCACGGGCCCAGCCGCTCCGCGGCATGTGGGATCCTCCCGGACATGGGCACGAACCCGTGTCCCCTGCATCGGCAGGCGGACCCCCAACCACTGCGCCACCAGGGAAGTCCCTTAAATTTATCTTGATTTTTAAAAAAAATTTAGACATTATTTATTGACTTTCCATTATAGTAGTTAAGGATTTAGTTCTCTTACACACTGATATACAGATCTATCGTCCATATTTTATTCATATTTCCTTCGTTTTTACTTAATGTCCTTTTTCTGTTCCAGGATCCCATCCAGGACACCACATTGCATTTAGTAATCATGTGTCCTTAGGCTCCTCTTGGCTTTGACAGTTTATCAGACTTTCCTTGTTTTTAATGGCCATGAATTTTGTGGAGTGCTGGCCAGGTATTTTGTTGAGAATGTTCCTCATTTGGGATTTGTCTGATGGTTTTCTTTATGATTAGACTGTGTTTGGAGGAGGAAGACCACAGAGGTAAAAGTGCCGTTTTTACCACATCGTATCAAGGGTACATGCCATCAGCATGACTTATGTTGATAGATACCTTGATCACTTGATCGAGGTGGGGTTTGTCAGGATTCTTCTCTGTAAAGTTACTCTTTTTTCCCACCTTTTTTCTCTCTGGAAGGAAGTCATTATGTGCAGCCATACTTAAGGAGTGGTGAGTTGTGCCCCACTTCTTTGAGGGCACAGTGTCTGCATAAATTATTTGGGATTCTTCTGCATGGGAGACTTGTGTCGGAAAGTTTTTAATGACATTTAATATCATTCATAGACACAGGACTATCAGATTTTCTTTTCTTGTTTTACTCTTGGTACCTTGTTTTTTTCCCCTAGGAATTTGACTATTTCATCTAAATTTTCAAATATAGTGTTATAATGTTCAAATATCCTTTTACTATCTTTTAAACATCTGTGCAATTATAGCTGTGTCCTGATTTTTATTCTTTTTAAAAAAAATAAATTTATTTATTTATTTTGGCAGTGTCGGGTTTTTGTTGCTGCGCGCCAGCTTTCTCTAGTTGTGGCGTGTGGAGGCTACTCTTCATTGCGGTGCGTGGGCTTCTTATTGCGGTGGCTTCTCTTGTTGAGGAGCACAGGCTCTAGGTGCGTAGGCTTCAGTGGTTGTGGTGTGCAGGCTCCGTAATTGTGGCATACGGGTTTAGCTGCTTCGCGGCATGTGGGATCTTACCGGACCAGGACTCGATCCGATGTCCCCCTGCATTGGCAGGCAGATTCTTAACCACTGTGCCACCAGGGAAGTCCCCTGATTTTTATTCTTGATATGGAGAAATTATGATGTCTTTCTTAATTAGTCTTACTAGGAGTTTATCACTTGTGTTAGTCTTTTCAAAGAACTAAGTAATGGCTCTGTCAACTTTCTCATTTGTACTTTTATTTTTAGGTCGTTAAATTCTTATCTTAATTGGTTCTTTCCTTCTACTTTCTTCAGACTTGGTTTTCTTTGTTCTCTTCCACCCAGTCACATTCTGAGGTGGGAACCTAGGTCACTGATTTTTCAGCTTTCCTTCTTACATTTTTAGCTGTGCATTTCCTCTAGCTTTAACTAGATTTCACAAGTTCTAATTTGATTTTCTGATTTCCATTGTGAATTCTTCTTTGACTCATGGATTATTTGTAAGACTGGTGCTTAGGTGCAAACATTTGGGGATTTTACTATGTACACTTTTGGGTTTTGATTTCTGGCTTAGTTACACAGTGGCAGAGAATATAGTCTGAATGATTTCAGTTTTTTGAAGGTTAATGCTTGCTTTAAACCCCAGCATAAGATCAATTTAACCCTTCTATATATGCTTGAAAAGCTCTATATTGTGAAGTAATGGTCTGCAATACATAATTTATATCTGTAAATTAGGTCAAGTTTGTTATTTGTTTTGTTGAGATCGTCTATATTCTTACAGTTTTTTTGTGTTTGCTACTTCTCATTTATCTAAAGAGAAATGTTAATGTCTCCCACAATGATTATAGGTTTGTCAGTTGCTCTTTTTAATTCTGTTAATTAAATAGTATTTATATTCTTCTTGTGGGTTTAATGACCCTTTTATTATTGTCACATGTCCCTCTATCTCTAGTAATGCTTCTTTCTTTTGATTACTGTTTGCATAACTTTTTTCCATCCTTCTATTTTCAACCTCTATATGTCTTTATATTTACGGTATGACTCTTTTAAGCGGCATATAGTTGGGGTTTTTTGGTTTGGTTTGACAATTTTTTTATTGGTATATTTAATGTATTTACATTTATTTAATTATTGATTTATTTGTGTTTATTTTTACCTTCCTACTATTTTCTTTGTGTTCCATCTGTTTTAGTTTCCTTTTTCTTTTTTGACTTCTTGTGTATTAATCAAATTTTTGTTATCCATTTTCCTTTTTATTATTTATTCTTCTGTTATTTTAGTGGCTACCTTAAATATTACACAATCATTTCTGACTACCAAAAATGTTATATGAATTACTACTTTCATCACTTCACAGTCAGTGCTAGAATCTAAGAACATTTTTTTTTCAGTACGCGGGCCTCTCACTGTTGTGGCCTCTCCCGTTGCGGAGCACAGGCTCCGGATACACAGGCTCGGCGACCATGGCTCACAGGCCTAGCTGCTCCGCGGCATGTGGGATCCTCCCAGACCAGGGCATGAACCCATGTCCCTGCATCGGCAGGCAGACTCTCAACCACTGTGCCACCAGGGAAGCCCTAAGAACATTTTAACTCCATTTTCTCCCTCCTTTCTTTTATGTTATTGTTATATTGTAATTTGACTCGTTTTAAATCCTATAAAACATTATTGTCATTTATTGTTATTTTTATATTTACACACTTATTTACTCTTTCCATTACTCTTTTTTTTTTTTCTTCCTACATTTCCATATTTCTTGCTGGGGTCATTTTCATTCTCCCTTCTTGATTTCTTTACTCTGGGTCTTCTAGTGATAGATTCTCCATTTCTGTCTGTACAAGGGGTCCTAAAGACCAACGTTGGGTTCGATGATTCACTAAGAGGACCCACAGGACTCATCAGATAGTTATGCTTGTGTTTAAATTTTAATACAGTAAAAAGATAAGAGCAAAATCAGCAAAGGGAAAAGGTGCATGAGATGAAGTTTGCAGGAAACTAGACACGGGTTTCCAAGAGTCCTGTCCCAGTGGAGTCATGTAGGACACACTTAATTCCAAAATTGAACTGTGACAACATGTGTGAAATATTGTCTACCAGGGAAGCTCATTAGAGACTCAGTACCCAAGTTTTTACTGGGGGAAGTTTAACATAGGCACTCTCTACCTAGCACATACCAAGATTCCAGACTCCAAGAAGGAAAGCAGGGGTTCAGCATAAGCCACATTGTTTGTACAAACAGTGTAGGTGCGGGCTTCCCTAGTGGCGCAGTGGTTGAGAGTCCACCTGCCGATGCAGGGGACACGGATTCGTGCCCCGGTCCGGGAAGATCCCATGTGCCACGGAGCGGCTGGGCCCGTGAGCCATGGCCGCTGAGCCTGCGCGTCCAGAGCCTGTGCTCCACAACGGGAGAGGCCACAACAGTGAGAGGCCCACGTACTGCAAAAACAAAAACAAACAAACAAAAAACAAAAGCAGTGTAGGCCTATTGAGGCACTCTTATCAGTCCCAGGAATGGTGGGAACTCTCCTGAAACCCAAATTCCCAGATACCAACCAAGGTCATCCTTACAAGCAGGCCTTTCTAAGGAGAGCAGCCTCAGGCTGCTGTGTTAACTTTTTAGTGCATACTTTCTGTCTGGAAATGCCTTTTTTTCACCTTTGCTTTTAAAGGATATTTTCACTCGGTATAGAATTTTAGTAAGCAGTTATTTTCTGCCAGCACTTTGTAGTCGGCTTTAACTCTTATTGTTTCTTCTTTAAAGGCAATATATTCCTCACCTCCACTAATAGCTGCTTTTGTCTCTGTCTTTGTTTTTCAGCAGTTTGAGTAAGATGTGCCTCGTTGAAGTCTTATTAATATTTATTCTTCTTGGTATTCATAATGTTCCTTGAATCTGTGATTTTATATTCCTTTTAATTTTGGAAAATTCGTGGCCATTATCTCCAGCTATTTCTTTTGCTTCAATCTATCCCTCCTCTCCTTCTGGGATTCAAATTACACGTATGTTAGACTTTTTTTTTTTTTTAACCATATTCCATATGCCTCTTAGGCTCTTTTCTGTATTTTCTCTCCATGCTTTAGTCTGGTTATTTTCTACTGTTTTTTTTTCCAATTCATGATCCTCACTTCGTCTATGTTATATCTGGTAAAACTGTTAAATTTGACTTAATCTAGTGAGTTCTTAAGCTCAATGATTGCATTTTTCAGCTCTGGAATTTCCATTTGATTTTTTATTTATTTTAAAGTCAGAGCCTAATTACTGTTGATATTTAGTGCCAAATATTGGACTTTGCTTTTTTCTCTTCTTTCTTGGATCTTGACCCCTCATGTCCTGGCTGCTTGGGCAACTTTGAACCAAATATTTTTCTCCCCAGTCCTGTGAGGTTTACCAAAAGCTCTGCTCACCCACCCCTCAAAGCCACCCCCACCTTTAACAGCAATTCTCCTCTGTGAGAGTTTGTGCCTTTGTTGCCTCCTTAACCCAGTTACGCTTGCCTTTTATTTTTGGATGTTTCTCTTTAACTTCTTGCATTCAAGATTATGAAACTTTGCTGTGGGCCCTGCCCTCCCTTCTCCTCCTCCTGTTCACCCTGGTGGTGTGTGGGTGAGGTGCGAGGGGGGACCCACAAATATATATCAGCCCAACAGCCCTAAGTCTCCTCCTTTATTATTAGGAAACAAAACAACACCAACAAAAAGTGTCATCATGAGTGTGAACAACACTGTCAGATGAGTTAGTTGAAGTTTTTTTTTTTGTACTGTGTCCTCAAATTTAATGGATTAATGTGTCTTGTATATATAAAAAGAAAACCTCTAAAAAAAAATGTCAGAGAAAGGCAAATACTGTATGATTTTACTTATATGTGGAGTCTAAAAAACAAAACAGGTGAACAAACATAACAAAATGGAAACAGCCTCGCAGATACAGAGAACAAACCAGTAGATGGTTGTTAGAGGGGAGGGAGGGGCAGGAGGAGTGAAATAGGTGAGGGAGATTAAAAGGTACAAACTTAATTACAGAATAAATGAGGCACAGGGATAAAGTGTTTTTTTTTTAAAAAGTGGAGTCCATATGATCTTAATGGAGAACGTTTTTCAGATTCTCATTGGGATATTAAAATGCTGGCTGAATCTCTAGCTGTTTTATATAGAGCTGATTGCTTCAATTTGTAGCTTCTGCAAATTTTTAACTGCCTGTTTTTAGGAGTATAAATGTTACTTTTTTGCAGACCTTTGAGGTAAAAACAGGCCCTTGCATATGCTATTCTTGTCTGTTCATTTTAATGTTTCTGCAGCTTGGACTGCAGAAACTGCTTGCATCGTGGCCACCTCATCTATTTACTAATTCTGTTAAGGCTTTAAAAAATAGAGACATTTACCTTTTCTGTCATCTTTAAAGCTGCGTATTGGGCTGGGGAGGGGCTGTAGCCTGAGCTCAGGCTGACTCTATTTTTCTTTATATTCCCCAGCACCTAGAGAGGTGCTTGGCACACAGTAGGTAGTCAGACAGTGCATATGTGGAATAGATGTTGAATCTTCAAAGAAAGTAGAAATGTTTACTATATCTCTGAATTATCTGCAATTGGACAGTTTTTATTTATGTTAGTTAGAAAACTTTCCCTTTGTGCCACATTTTTGTTCTCGACTTTGTTTTTGGTATATAAATCCTTTTTCTCTCTCCATTCCATCATGACATAAAACTTCAGCCCACACAGTTCATTTCAACTCACAGCTATAGCTTCTGTATTTGACAGTTATGCCCCTAAAGAGAACAGGCGGTATTGATATTCCCTCAGGCCACGTGCATTTCCTTTTTGTCACACACATTTCCTACTATGTTACTTGTTTTTAAAACCTACAATCCTGTGCGATACAGGGCTCAAAGCTTGAACTCCCCTTGTGGCTGGCAAAAGGACTTTTTGACAACAAGCGCCGGATCCTTTCTGTGGAACTTCCCAAAATCTACCAGGAGGGTTGGAGGACCGTGTTCAGTGCAGATGCCAACGTGGTGGACCTCCACAAAATGGGACCACATTTCTACGGGTTCGGCTCCCAACTCCTGCATTTTGACAGTCCAGAGAACACAGACATCTCCCAGTCTCTCCTGCAGGCAAGTTATTGACGTGAAAACCTATGGCATTGCACATGTCTCAGGAGCCAGCCGTGGCAGCCACCAGATGTTACTCTTACCCAGAGAGTGTATGATTTATACAATCAGTTTCTTGTTATTCCGGGTCAGCCTACAATTAGACTGTGTTTGCTGATTATATACACATGTAAATATGGCTTGTCTGTCGCTCTTCATATTTGCTTGCTAAGAGTTGGGACCAACAGGAAGTCCTGGAAATAAGATACTTGATTACAGGTGGCAGAGGAGACGCAGACCTCCTTCTAAGTCCTAAACCATATTCTTGCCTTTCGTGCCATTTAAATGTTCAGGGATTAAAATGTATCTGATTTCTGTCTCTCGCTTCTTCAGACGTTTGTTGGACGTTTCCGCCGCATCATGGACTCCTCCCAGAATGCTTACAACGAAGACACTTCGGCGCTGGTAGCCAGGCTAGATGAGATGGAGAGAGGCTTGTTTCAAACAGGGCAGAAAGGACTGAATGACTTTCAGTATTGGGAGAAGGGGCAGGCCTCTCAGATCACAGCTTCCAACCTGGTTCAGAACTACACGAAGAGAAAATTCACTGACATGGAATACTGAAGGCCAGAAGAACACGGAATTGCTCCCTGTAGACTTATCCCTCTGTGTGTCCTTGATAGGAGCCTAGTTGACCTTGTATAGGGCCAGAATCATGTCCCATCTTGTGACTTATTCCCAGCAGCACTGTCAGGAGTGCTACCATCTGGTGGGGAAACAACATGCTGGAGGATGTCCCTGGCCCTATAAGTCTTCCAGGACTGTCCCACCTGCTGACCCACAGACCAGACCTACTTAGCCCAGGAACCCACAGCCAAGGAGAAACCAAAGTCCTTCATAAATAAGGATCATGAATGCATATATCGCAGTAGAGTTGGAACTGGGATTCCTCGTGCCTGGGAGTTTGGACAGCCTTAGATATCCAGTTTCACTAGCTCCAAAGGACGGGTACAAATGGGCCTTCCTAACCTGTTCACAAAATGTCCTCTTGAGCTTAATTGCCTCATCTTCCTCATGGTTGCACAAAGGACAGTAACCCCAGGATGCTGGCTCTACTTGTAAATATCTCCTGCCACCTGCCTATGGGGAGTTACCCAGTTTCAAAAAACAGTTGCCAAGAATAAGGAAGGAGGGCTTCCCTGGTGGCACAGTGGCTGAGAGTCCGCCTGCTGATGCAGGGGACGCAGGTTCGTGCCCCAGTCCGGGAAGATCCCACAAGCCCCGGAGCGGCTAGGCCTGTGAGCCATGGCCGCTGAGCCTGCGCGTCCGGAGCCTGTGCTCTGCAGCGGGAGAGGCCACAACAGTGAGAGGCCCGCATACCGCAAAAAAAAAAAAAAAGAATAAGGAAGGAAAATGGAAAGCCCCGTGAGTGGCAAGGCTTTTACTAAAGAGAAGACATTGCTTTCCTCTTCTGTGAGGAGGGCTTCATGAACTGGACTTCACGCCTAGGCGGAAATGGTTAAACTGAGCTTGTTTTTGCCTCTAGATCTTTATTGCCCCCGCACAGTTATTCCATGCTCTCCCTAGGAAAGCTGTCAGGGAGTTGTTTGGAATCGCAAAGCAGTTGTTAAAGCCCTTATTACATTGAAATCAGGGCTTCAGCGTTGCTGGTTATGAAGAGCCCTGTTTGAGAAGCTTAGCATGGCAGATGTGAGTGGGCAAGAGACCTCGGTCATGGTTTTTTACTCTTCAGTAAGTTTTGCAATATTATTATATAACAGATTCCTGACCAGTTACTGAGACTCTGTTTAAGCAACCACAAAACTCTTTCCCTGGAGATCAAGGAGGAAACCTCAGGCAGAGTAGGAAACAGCATCCCTGGGACCCACTGGACTTTTTGAAGGGCAGTTATCACCACACCATGGGTCCCCTTCCAACTTCCCACAACTAGTGAAAATTGCCTTTGTCACTGGAAATTACAGTGGGATTTGGGTCTCCAGATTGTACAGACGTCTTGATGCAAACTTAGAATGTCAGAAATATTTTTTAAATGCCTGTTTTAAGATGGAACTGATGTTTTTATAATTTGATTTTGGTGCTAAATAAATGATCCACTTTGCACATGAATACGTTCTGTACATGTACTATTTCTGTAACTCGAGTACTACAGATGATCAGGCAAAGCTAACAGAAAATTTTGTCTTTGATAGTATTTGACAATAATGCCCCAATAAATCCATGTTTTAGCAACTGCTCTTTTGTTTGCACAATACTCATAAATATGGGGGACATTCTCCATAGGGATGAGCTGTGTCCTTGAAAAGAGGGACTTCCATTGCTGTCACAGCATTAACATATAGTCAGGGGCCCAGAGATAATTCATAGTCAGTGAGAAAAACATATTTTTTAATTTTTGGATTCACAGACAGCTTTGTTTTTAAAGTCAATCCTAAGGCTGCTGCCGGTTTTTTTTCTTATTAAAAAAAATTTGGCTCAGAGGCACATACCAAGAATATGTGGGTATGCACGTGTAGAATTTATTTCATTTTAAATTTTGAACAAATTATATTACAGGGAGCTTCCGAAGCCCATCTCCAATTACAGATTTGCCTTCAAGGCTGTCTGTTACTAACCCTTTCCCCAGCAACCTTCCCCCAAATCAGTCTCTTGGTCCCTTCAAAGAAGTGAATTTTTCAAAATAAGTCAACAAATTGGCTCAGCTACCATATCAGTCTTAAAAACAAGGGGGAATGTGTGCTCTTTCCCCTTAAAGGCTCTGTTCCCAGGTAACTCTGGTCTTAATTACATACAAAAGACCTCACTGTCTTCAGGCTTTTTCCCTGTGGTACAAGTTGGGCTGCCGAGAGGAAGGGCCAAGGCTTTGCCTTCCCAAGTCATTTCCTCCCGCTCTCCTGACCTCTGCGTTTTGGATGGCTCCATGGTCAGTCCTTGGATCTCTTCTAGCCATTCTGACTCCCTCCAGTGTCAAGTTTTAAATACCACCATCTATACGTTGATGACTCCCAAATTCCATCTCCAGCCAGACCTCCCTTCAACTCCAGACTTGCAGCCAGCCACCTGCTTGACATTCCACTTCAACATCTGACCCCACAGGGCTGAAACTGAGGCCCTAATCTTACTCTCACAGTCTCCTCCTATCATCTTTCTCATCTCTGTTTTTGACAACTACATCCTTCCCTACTGCTCAGGACAGAAACGTAGGAGTCCTCCTTGGCTGTCTTTCTCATATCTTTTGGGTCAACCTTCAAGTCATTGGCAGAACCTGCCTGCCTCTTGCCCACCTCCACTCCTGCCGGGATGGTTGAGGTCACCTCCCAACTCCTTCCCTGCATTCATTCACCCTTCCCCGCCTTTAGACTCTTCTCGCCAGAGCGGCCACAGTGGTCTTGTTCAAAAATAAATCAGATCTTATTACTTCTCTGCTTAAAACCCTCCCTTGTCAGAAAAAGGCCCCTCTGCCATACCAGCACCATTTGTTAAAAAGTCCATCCTTACCCCAGTGATTTGGCATTGAATTTTCTTACTGCTTCCACAGCAGAAGTAATTTGTTCCTATTTTAAGCAAAAATTTCACCTTCTGCCTAAGAGATTTCTGAACATTTTATAGAGCTTGTTAATCTCTGAGCACCACTGGACCTGAGAAGTTTCTGGACTACTGTGTCTGAGGTAGTGAAATTGGAATGCAGAATTATTGAGCAGCTCACTCAGGTTCATACAGAAGTCAAGTCCTGTTCTGAGTCTTTCTGTTCCACCAGCCTTCAAGAAATTCCAGGAGAGCTTTTCATCTTTACACCATCTGGGACAATGGTGTTTAAGTGAAAATATAATATTTTACACTGATCTTGGCAAAAGAAAATAATTGCAGAGGCTGTACGTACATTTCTGAAAGTAGGTATCTTTGTGTTCAAGAGAAAAATCTATACTTGAAGTAACTTGTGGCACAAAATATAGGATAGATGCTTAAACTATAAGAATTACTCCAAGAACCTTAATTTCAACAGTCCTTATCTAATATAGGTAAAATGAAAATCTTAATATTGATTACACATAGAAACATTTATTTATTTTTACATCTTTATTGGAGTATAATTGCTTTACAATGGTGTGTTAGTTTCTGCTTTATAACAAAGTGAATCAGTTATACATATACATATGTTCCCAAATCCCGTCCCTCTTGCGTCTCCCTCCCTCCCACCCTCCCTATCCCACCCCTCTAGGTGGTCACAAAGCACTGAGCTGCCCTCCCTGTGCTATGCGGCTGCTTCCCACTAGCTATCTGTCTTACGCTTGGTAGTGTATATATGTCCATGCCACTCTCTCGCCTCGTCACAGCTTACCCTTCCCCCTCCCCATATCCTCAAGTCCATTCTCTAGTAGATCTGTTTCTTTATTTCTGTCTTACCATAGAAACAATTTTTAAAAGACAACTAAATGCCCTGAACCTAAAGAAAAGTGCCTAAAATTTGGAATTCTCTTGCTGACTCTTGATAGTGGCATTTTGAATGAACAATAAATCTCCCGTCATTAATGAATAGTGAATAAAATGTATAGTGAATCAAGGGCAAGTCTGAGAAAATACAAAGTTACCCTCTTCCGAGAGCAAATGATTAACACATGTGACAGGCCCAGCGTGCTTTTGTTTGAGATCGTTTTGTTGATTTTTCCAGGCTTCTGCCTTTCTGCCTCGCTAATCAAAGGAGACACAGTACAATCAGACACAGTCAGACGCGGCTTGCTTTCCAAGCAGCCTTCCTCTAGGACACGAGACAAGCATTCTCCTTCCTGGGTGTGCTCTCCTGTTGCCTGCGTTGTGGTCTAAAGCAGCGGTCCTCAACCTTTTTGGCACCAGGGACCGGTTTCACGGAAGACCATTTTTCCACAGACGGGGTGGAGGTAGGGTTGCAGGCGGTAATGCGAGCGATGGGTAGCAGCTGTAAATACAGATGAAGCTTCGCTCTCTTGCCCACCGCTCACCTCCTGCTGTGCGGCCCGCTTCCTAACAGGACCAGTACCGGTCTGCCCAGGGGTTGGGGACCCCTGGTCAAAGCGAGGAGGCCACGCCCAGAAGCCAGAGGCCTCCTATCTGTCAGAGATCAGAGTGAAGTCCACTCAAGGGGCATCATTTCGTTAAACTTTTTTATTTGGAAATAATTTCAGATTTATAGAATAGTTGTAAAGATAGTACAGAGTTCCCCTATATCCTTCACCCAGCTTTCCCTGATGTCTTACGTAATCATGGTACGTTTATCAAGTATTACTAACTGAGCCACAGGCTTTAGTCAGATTTCACCAGATTTTCCACTAATGTCCTTTTATTGTTCCAGAATCCAATCCAAAGTTCTACGTTGCATTTAGGGAGCAATAATTTTTTAGAGCAATTTGGGGAAGCAAAACAGTATTAGATTCTTCCCTATATTCGTTTCAGAAGGTAGGCTTATTGGAAAGGCGTCGTTGCATTGGGCTGCATAACTGGGGCCAACTAGGGGCCTAGTAGGGCTTGCACAGGAGCAAGCTGCTGGTGAGCTAGTTAAGAAGGGACAGAGTATTTGCTTTTCACCTGAAATTTTCACTTTTTCCCCAGTACTTGCATCTGATGGGAAAAGGCCTCTTTCATTTTACTTAAAACTTCTCCTTTCTCTCCCTGAGGGCGGTAACTTGATATTCTCCCCTTTCACTTCTGGCACATACTAGCTAATTTTCTCTGTATCTAAATGAGTTTAAAATGAGCAGGGCTTTCTACCCTAACATTATTAACAAATGTCAGCGCAGCTCTGAAAATAGTGCCTGGGAACTGCTACTGTTTCAGAATCCATAAAGGGAGCACAGAGAACCAGCTAATCTTTGCAAACGTCTCCCACCTATGGCCAATTAAAAAAAAAGAAAAAAGCCCAGAGGTTTGTATCTTTATGACATTCTCTGCTCCTGTATCACCCTTGAGAGAGAAGTTTCTTGGATTCTCACATGATTTGCGTGGCTCCCTTTTGGCAACTAAAATTCTTCCCTGAAGACAGTTTCTTTGGATGCAGGAAAGCAGATGAGGAGCTAAAAAGTATAGATTCAGGGGCAATGAATAGATTCAGGTGTGGTGAGGAGGCATTTTGATGCTTGAAGAAAGACAGAAACCAGTGTTAAAAGCCACCATTGGCGGGGTCACTGGAGGGAGAGATGACAAAGGGTGTTCCGGGAGAGTGGCTTTATCTTAATGGGAACAAGAGGCCTTGGCGCTTGGCTATCTCTTAGGTTCAAGAGGAAAACATTTAAAAAAC